TAACTTTGTTCGCCTAGCCAGATGGAGACTCTTTGGCCATATACTGCGCATGCCAGACGGATGTCCTGCTGTGGCGGCTATGATTAACTATTACCAGGTGAAGGAAACAGTGTGGAGGGGACGGCCAAGAACGACTCTGCCTATCGTGCTATCCCGTGACCTGCAGAGAGTGGGGCGGAGGGGACTCAAGACGTTGTCTGATCTCCTCTCCCTCCGGGAGATTGCACAGGGCAGAGGGGAGTGGAAGGACCTTTGCAAGGACGTCTGCAAGTCCAATAGTGGCGTCTACGACTAAAACCAAATAATATTGCTCCGAAATATCACAGTACTGCTTTTCATAACTGCTACGGTAATAATAATTAAAGGGGAAGTATACCCTAAAATCAAATTTTCACCAGTTGTAGTCTTCGGGGTGCTGAGTCGAATGGTCTTGGTCCGAGGAAGCTGAGACGCTCCCTTCCTACTTGAATCCCAATCGAACTCGCGCACTTCCACCGAAACTGGGTGACTGCGCCCTACTAGATGGGGATTTGTATGCAAAATGTCACTAAAAGCGCCATTTCGTTCTTATAAAAGCACGGATGACCGCGATTGGCCCATATGTTGTAGTCTTTTGGACGCTGAGTCGACTGGTTTTGGTCCGAAAAGGCTGCGATGCAGCGTTCCTCCTTTATTCCCAATCGAACATGGTTGAAGAAGCGGTCACGTGCTCCTGGGTGCCCAAATCACCTGGTCACCGCGCCAGCAGGCGACAACTTTCACACCAAGGTTCAACTCGAGTAACAGGACTGCAACCAAAAAAGGTCAAACAGGCTAGTAAGTTGTACCCTGCAGGCACGGTGACCAGGTGACTGGTGTACGCAGAAGCACGTGACCGCTTGTTCAACCATGTTCGATTGGGAATAAAGGAGGAACGCTGCATCGCAGCCTTTTCGGACCAAAACCAGTCGACTCAGCGTCCAAAAGACTACAACATATGGGCCAATCGCGGTCATCCGTGCTTTTATAAGAACGAAATGACGCTTTTAGTGACATTTTGCATACAAATCCCCATCTAGTAGGGCGCAGTCACCCAGTTTCGGTGGAAGTGCGCGAGTTCGATTGGGATTCAAGTAGGAAGGGAGCGTCTCAGCTTCCTCGGACCAAGACCATTCGACTCAGCACCCCGAAGACTACAACTGGTGAAAATTTGATTTTAGGGTATACTTCCCCTTTAACATCTTTTTTAAATACCAACAAAATTCCTCTCTTAACGTAGTGCGTGGATCTGCATCCACCTGCCACCATTTTACTGGATTATTCTCAAAACGGAGTCGACAATGCCCTTTATCCTGTGTCTGCGTCCTCTGTTCAATCTGAGCAATGCTGTCATGTGCCCCTTAGCAGGTACTAGGTACGTCTTGTATTGTATTTCTATTTCTGTTGTCGTTGCTCTTTTTATTTTTATTTTTTCATTTCCCAATTCCCAAGTCCATTCAGCACGTGCGAATTTGTGGGCGGTTTACCACCGCTGACATTAGAGAGGTTTTGCATTCCGAATTTCGGAATGATTTTCGACTGTGCTTTTCCGAAAAAAGCGCGTTCCGAAAAACGGTATTTTCAGTGTTTTGCATTCCGAAAATCTGATTCGACTTCGTTTCCAAGGGTTGCCATGCAAAACAAAATGGAGAGCGTCGAAGTGGTTGAGCAGGATCAAATCCATGTGCGCAGGTCAAACTGAATTTGGGTGCGGTTCGAAGACGAGGACGGACTGATGGTGGACCAAGTGATCCAACAGCTGAAGACGAGGTTGGCGAACTACTGTCTTGTACTGTTAGTAGGCTCCAGGGCAAAGGAAGATAGAGTGTGATGAAGTGTGAGAAGATTAGTCAACATGGCGAGATCAGCGAGAGCAGCAAAACCAGCAAAAATCAAAACTACATACGTGGAAATTTTTTCAAATGATCGAGAGCAGCAGAAAGCAAAAATACAAACATGAAAAATACACTTTTTTGTATTCAAATATGCACTCCCAAACATGAAAGAGCCGAAAATCCATTTTCGGAAAACCATGCACTTTCGCCACCACACTTCCGAAAGTTCGACTACTTTTTCGACTGCTGCCGCCACATTCCGAAAATAATTCCGAAATTCGGAATGCAAAACCTCTCTATTGACGCGTAAGTGCATAATAATAATAATAATAATAATAATAATAATATTAACTGGTTTGAGGGAAAGAGACAAACGGGAAAAGTCCGAAGAAAAAATTGACTGTCACCACCAGGACTCGAACCAGGGACCCTCGCTTGTAGCCTGCGATGCTCTAACCACTGAGCTATGGTGTAGTCGTCATCCCAGCAGAGACCGTTCAACGTTTTCTTCAGACTTCATAAATAATAGCCCTGCGTCAAAGCTGCAATGGAGAGCAGCCACTGGCGAATCGGTTATGTGACTTGTGTCTTATAGTGCTACAAGGCAGAAGGATAACACAATTTGTTATCATTTAATGATACGCTGTGGGAAAAAAATCAAACGATCACTGTATCAGAACCAAAACAGCACGAATCAGAAGAAAAGGGGCAAAGGAGCCGCAGAAGTATAAAGTCAGTGGTGGGTGAACAATGAAGTAGAGAGCATTGAGTGATGGTGTGGTGGATCAGCAACAAAGGCACCATCCAAACATACAAGGTTACATGTACGCTGAGAAGAAGTCAGATATTGCAGTGTCATCCGTCCCTTACAGATCCTTTTCTGTCACCCGTTGACACAGAGCTCGCCACTCGGCCCTATCCGCTGCAATCTTCCTGATTCTGTGCAAGTCCTCCAGACTACTCAGCTTTCCGGCATCTGTTGCCTCCAAGTCAGCAGATAGTGTACCCAGCAGGCTGGTCCTCGGCCGTCCTCTCCAGCCCTTGAGGTCCTAGCTGGTGTAGTAGCTGACCATTGCCTGGACGGCTGGTGTGCTGACAAGGCGAAGGAAGTAGAGCGTCTCAAAGAGGGAGCGCAGATGTTTAAAGCCGCCCAGCTCATGAGAAGGAGGAATGCTGTAAAGCCTGTGGTTGCGGATAAAGCAGGTAAATTCATCATCAACGAAAAGTAAGCTGCTGCCGCTATTGGACAGCATTTCGATACCCAACTCAACAATTCCAGCGCACAGGCAGTTCCACAATTTGACGGCCCTCCATGGCCACTGTCAAACCCAATTACTTGCACTGAAGTTGCTAAAAGCCTGATGAAATTCAACAACGGACGAGCATCTGGAGAAGATGATACCCCAACTGAATTGCTCAAGTATGGATGAGACGCCATGGCTTCTACCCTTTCCTCAGTTATCAATGGTATATTTAGCCATCATCAGTCAGTGGAAGTAGGTGGAGGAATCCTCATCCCACTTCAAAAGCCCAATAAACCTCTTGGACCACCGTCCAATCTCCGGCCCATAGTGCTACTTACATCGCTCAGGAAAGCACTATCGCTCATAACCCTTGCAAGGATCAGACCGAAAGTGCAGGAGTTTCTAGCTGAGACCCATAGCGACTTCCGGAGTGGACGGTCAACGTCCGATGTCGTATGGGCGCACACATGGCTGGCTGCCAAAGCCCAACGCTTTCACTGGGACATTCACATCCTCGGAATTGACCTATCAAAGGCATTTGATACTATCAGACTATCAGACGTGCCCAACTGATGAGTGTACTACAGGAAGTCGTGAACGAGGATGAGCTGCGTCTGATACAATACCTACTCTCGGGAACAACGCTCCATGTCCGCCTTGGTAAAACGTCATCACCAACATTTCCGACAACTATTGGCACACCGCAGGGTGACTCATTAGTTTATAATGCAGAGTACGGGGCAGTTGTGACTTTTTGAGCTCTGCAAATTTTCAAGCCCAACCGGCACTAGGCCGGTCTGGAGGTAGGCATAACAGGCCCCTTGATGTGACAATGTCGTCTGAGGAGTCACCCACCGCACCAGCAGATGCAGACCTTGCTGTGATGGACAATCAGGAGATCCGGCATCTCGCCAAGAGTCACAGACTGGAACACTCGGGACTTTCCCGTACCCAGATAGTCAAGCTTCTTCGCGACAACGGTATTGGTTCGTCGACAAACTCAGCAGGTCAGTCTGACAAGGTGCGCGATGTTGTTCAGCAGGCATTGGCCGATATTGCAAAAAATGTTAAAGAATTGGCCGCCAAGGTAGCCCTAATTTCTGCCTTGCAGTTGGAGGTGTCGTCCCTTCGAGGAGAATTGGCGGCTCTCAAAGAAAGGAACTCTGATCATGACCCTGTACAAACTAGCACACCTGAACCTCAACCCGTACGTGTACAACCGCCTGCTGACAGCGTCAGGTTGTACAGCGCGGCGGCACGTGCACAGTCGTCACAGGTGCGAGCACGGGATAACACATGGGGAGGCCCCAGCCAGCAGGCCAGTACTACACGACCCCAAACAAGTCACCCAGGCACTCAGGTCACGTCGTACTATGAAAACCGGCCCAAGCGCTCTGATCAACTACAGGGAGGATCCCGCACAAAATGTTGCGCTTTGTATGTGGGCAATGTCAATAGTGGGTGCACATCAGAATCGATCGCCAAATGGTGTGAACGCCGAAATATACCTGTCATCAAGTGCTCCGTGTCTGAGACAAAGTACTTCGGGTTGGCCTTTGCTCACGTAATTCTGCCAATACAACACAAAGCTACTGTTCTGGAACCGGAATTCTGGCCTTCAAACGTCAGAGTTAGAGAATGGCGCTTCAAGGCTGACAGTGTAGCAACTGGTCGAGCTGCAGAGGAGCACTAAATGTTCTGTTTAAATCCTCACGCAGCCCCCTTTCAACCCTTGAACCCTCATGCACCTATCTTTCAGCCACGAAATAGTTGCCCCACTGTAAATCCCCTACAGCATGAATTAATTAAAAGTAACCTCAAAATAGGATTCCTAAATGTTTGCCATCTTCTCAATAAAAAGCATGAAATTGAAGATTATATTCTTTCCCATAAAGTTGATATAATGATGCTGGCAGAGACTTTCTTAACAACCTCCGTTTCCGATGACATCCTACGCATACAGAATTACACCCTGGTCAGACGCGACAGGCCAACTCATGGCGGAGGCTTAGCAGCTTATGTAAGAGATCATCTCCGAGCCCGAATTGTGAAGGCTGACACCCAGGTGGAAATGCTCATGTTAGAGGTCAGTGGGCAGCGTTCCAAGGTTCTCCTTGGTGGTGTGTACCGTCCTCCAGGCACTCCTGTGCAATTCTGGCAAGACTTGACGAATGCACTAGACACTGTCATCTCCACACTTCCCACATCACCTCTGGTCCTTGTTGGAGACTTCAATGTCGATGTAAGCTCCCGCGACAGCCCCCAGCTAAACAGCTTGCTGCACCTGTGTAATTCTTTCGACATCAAGAACCAAGTGGACTGTCCTACCAGAATTGGACCCCAAGGCAGCCAAACAACCCTGGATCTCGCTCTGGTCGGAGACGATCATGTGAACTCTTGTGTCGTAGTACCTTGTACAATCAGTGACCACTTCGCTCTGGCACTTGATTTGCGACTCACAACGTCCTGCACACCGACCGTGCGACGTGGCCGTAACATTGCAAGAATTGATATGGGTCAATTTGCACACCACCTTCTAAATAGCGATCTAGAGAACTTCTGCTTTGCGCGGACAGAAGATGAAATGTGGGATATGTGGCTGGAGAAACTTGTCGCGGCCTTGAACACTCATGCTCCTATCCGTCTACACCGCCCAAGAGCTCCTACCCGGAAATCCTTCCCCTGGAAGACGCCAGCTCTACATGACCTAGTCCAGCGACGTGACGCGGCCCATCGACGGTGGAAAGCATCACCTGCAGACCCGGCACTACGCAATGTCTTCACTTCTGCCCGAGACGAAGCCAAGCGTATGTCACGACATCTCCGAGCCACCTACTTTAGGGACCTTCTTGCTGCTAGTCAGGCCAACGCACGAAAAACCTGGCAGACCATCAACTACCTCAGCGGTCGTAACAAGTCCTCAGTTCCACCAGCCGTCAGTGTCTCACAGCTCAGTGACCAATTCAGCGGTGTTGTGTCAGACCCAACTAGACCACTACGTCTCTCAGCCCCATTGGGTCCCACGAAGAAGGAATGCCTCGAAGAATTTGCTCCAGCAAGTGTGCAAGAGATTGCTAAGCTGCTCTCCAACATCGACGTGCGCAAAGCTGCAGGCAGCGACCAGGTTCCAGCTGCAATCCTCAAACACTGTTCTCCTGTCCTTGCACCGTCCCTTACCATACTAATCAATGCATCTCTGGCTTCTGGTGTTGTTCCTGCATCTCTGAAGATTGCGGATGTTCGTCCCCTCTTCAAGTCAGGCGACAAAGCTGTCGCTAAGAACTATAGACCAATATCGTTATTACCAATAGTTTCCAAAGTCCTAGAACGGGTAGTCCACACGAGACTCTGTAAGTTCCTCTCCGGAAATTCCTTGTTCCCCGCAAACCAGTTCGCATATCGCCCACTTCACTCCACAGAAGATGCCCTGACATTGGCTGTAGACAGATACTTGGAGGCAGCGGATCAGCAGCGCCATACAGGTCTTGTACTTGTCGATATGAGCAAGGCCTTCGATAAGGTCAAACACCAAATTTTGGTTACAGATCTATTTCAGCTTGGTATTACCTCAACGGCTCTCAGTTGGTTCATGAGCTACCTAACTGACCGCCGTCAGCGAGTCGTCCTGAGCAATGGCCAGTCATCCGCCCTCTCTCCCTGTGAGTGTGGTGTTCCTCAGGGAAGTGTGCTGGGTCCTCTTTTGTTCTCGATCTACACAATGGAAATAGAACAGATCACAGCTCCAGCCCACTCACAGCTGTTTGCTGATGATATCCTGCTAGACGCCATCAGTCAATCCGTCGAATTCTTGAATTTAACCCTCTCCCGTTCAGTCTCCAACCTGGCCAACTTTCTGGAAGAAAGAGGCTTAATACTAAATCCCTCCAAAACCCACGTTCTAGCCCTTCATGCGTCTCGCAGGCAGCCCTTGTTACTTAACATAGAATGCAATGGAAATCCCCTAGCTCAGACCACAAATGCTCGATATCTAGGTCTACATCTCGACACCCAGCTTCGGTGGGAGACTCAAGTTGCAACTATTACACGGAAGACCTCCCAGAAACTGACGGCGCTGCGAGCCATTCGCTCCTGCTTAACTGAGCAACAAGCCCTACTATTTTACAGATCGTTAATACTACCGGACATGTTGTATGGATCTAATGCCTTCTTCTCGGTTCTCTCTGCGCACCAACGGCATCAGCTTTCGGTCCTCGACAAGCGATGTATCCGCTGCGTTGCCAACCAGCCATTCCCCTCCCACACAGATCCCATCTACACCCGTCTAGGCCTCATCCCCATCATCCAAAACGCCCACTGTAAACTCCGCCTCCTCATGCTTCGTATCCACACCGCCAGAATTAGTAATCTCCTGTCCAAGCGCCTACGTCGCCAGACTGAAGGCGTCACTCGGATCAACGATCCAAATGCGTATGTTGTCCCTGCCACCAGGCGAGTCTCTGGTGACTGTCGGCCGCTCGTTTCTGCTGTTAAATTATGGAACGCCCTGCCCCAAGAGTTCAAGTCCCTCGACTGCCATAGATCATTCAAGAGACTTTTAAAGGTTTATTTTTATGGTTAGCCAGCATCTAGGCTTGGACTTGGAGTCGTGACTTAACTGTGACTCAACTGTGCTTTCTTCTTCTTTCTTTTTCTTTTTTTTTCCCCTTCTCTTTTTTCTTTTTGAGTATTTGCAGTCTGTGTTTTCTGTGTTTTTCTCTCTTTCGTGGAGGCTTGCTTGTTGTATCCTTGGCTCTCGGCCGTTACTTTATCGCCATCATAATATTGGGCACCATTGCCCGTTTGGTCTGCGATACAAAATAAAATTTCAACAACAACAACAACTCCTTGTCACCGGTCCTGTTTACCGTATATCTGGAAGCAGCGTTACGGCAACTGAGAAAGGAAGCAGCTCCCAGACCCCATGCTGATCTTCACCTGCCGCTTGAGCTAATCTATGCTGACGACGCAGATTTTGTAAGCACCAGTCGGCGGTGGCTCTCCCAGCTAGAAGCTACGGCGAGTTATACCCTGGTGCAATGGTCGCTCAACATGAATCATGACAAAACGGAGTACACAGAAATCACTAGACTCAATGATCGTAACAAAGAAGAATGGAGATCAACACGAAAACTTGGAAGTCTGATTGGTGATGACGAGGATGTGCTGAGGAGGAAGCAACTGGCGACAGCTACCTTTCGGGGCCTGTGGAACCTCTGGAAACGAGGCCAGCAGGTCAGCGAAAAGCTTCGCCTACGGCTATCAAGCCTTCATCATCTCTGTACAGTGTACTGCTGTACAACTCTGGTACGTGGGCGGTTACCAAGACAGCTCGGGAGCGACTGGACTCCTTCCATCGCGTCAACTGAGGTCGCTTATAGCATCAGGTGGCCTCAAACAATATCGAACAACGCACTATGTCTATACACCCGATGTGAAAGCCAGCCGATCAGTCACACCATCAAGATGTTGCGATGGAAGCTATTCGGACATGTCCTCCGTCTGTCCGACAGTACACCAGCCGTCCAGGCAATGGTCAGCTACTACACCAGCAAAATATAGCAAAAATAGTGGAAAATATTGCACCGGATTAAGCGGCAGATTGAATATGTGCAGCCTTTCTTCCTTTCTGACCCGATCCAAGAGCAGTATAACCCTGGTTGATGTTTGAGGTGTTTGTCGCGCTGGAAACGGAGCGTCTCTGTAAGTTTGTATCCCTGGTGATTTTTGTGCCTGGAGAGCACTATATAAGTGGTGCTCTTCAGCCAGGCACAATCTTCCTCAGCCTACTCAAGCTCAACTGACGAGGGGTGAATTCCCCGAAACACTGTGTATTGAGCAGGGAGTGGTGCTTTCTTGCAGGTTTGCCGAGTGGACGGT